GTTCGGGCACAAATTCCCTTTGACGTTTCAACCTTAGTGCAAGGGAGACGAACACATTCGACTAAAGGGACTGTGGATGTCTTTTGGATGCAGCAGGTAGACTCCGTTTTTGGGAGCATTCCAGGTTTCATTGCTCGTTATGCGTTTTTGCCTATATGCAAATTGCAAAAATGCATATTGCGACAACCCTGTCTTTGTGTGCGTATGTTTGTGTGTGTGTGTGTGTATGTGCGTGTGTGTGTGCGTGTGTGTGCGTGCGTGTGTGTGTGCGTGTGTGTGTGTGTGCTCGTCTGTCCGGGTATTTCAACTTGGCAACCAAGCAAGCTCTAGTGCCAAAATTTTGCTAGTGGGTTCCCTAGCCAAGTGCTACCCCAGGACCGTGGTACCAACTCTCACGCAAGTTTGGGCCTAACGTACGAGGGAGTGGAAGTTTTGGCGAGGAAATTGCTAACTCGGGAACGGGAAAAGGTAGAAAGCTGAAATTTTGAGTTTACGTTCTCCGTCCAAGTATAACTCAAAGTTTTCAAATTCAGCCCCCATTTGTGCGTGGCTCCCGCGTACGGCCTCGTGAGGTTTCCTGGCTCTAAATTCGTTAAGTAAATCGCGGCTTCCGGGTCAGCTCTGGAAGTGCAGATGGCGGGATGTGAAAATGCGGGAAAAAGTAATGGAAGTTGGTGGTGAGAGGGAGATAAGACATTTCGGTCCCTTAAGTCATATACGTCTTAACTCAGCACTACGACTGGACCTCGTCAGTTTGACGGTCGCAGTGCCTAAAAAAAATGAAAGAAGAGAAAAAAGGGAAAAGTGAAAAGAAAAAAGAAAAAAGGAAAAAAAGAAGGGAGAAGAAGGAAATGAATTAAGATGTAGGCCGAAGGAACAAGAGGAGGGAGAGGTAGGATGATGAGGTGCAGAAAACGCAGGTAAAAAGGTTTAAAAAGGAACGGAAGCAAACCTCGATGGTGAAGGTTTTGCTGTTGGAACTGTCGTCGCCGCAATGTTTGTTGCGTTTGGTGGTGGCCATATCTGGAATAGGAAACAAATACATGCGGTCCGAGGGAAAGGGTGAGCTGATAACGTAACGCAGAATACTTAACAAACGGGAAGAGTTTAAGTCATGCGGGTGGGCAGCGTTTCAGGCAGTGGCAGTGTGGTACAATGGGGGAAAATATTTAGCGAGATACGGTCTATTTTTATGTATAAAGGTACCGACTAACCGTTGAAGAAGCAGACGATGAGCCGACAATATGAATCCTTAAGAGAAAGAATCAATGGGCAAGCATCGAATTAGTTGGCTATAAATCGTGCCATCATGGATCGGTGGGTGAGCGTTGCTTTGAAGGGAAGAAAACCTATTAATGGGGAAAGTGAAGTGGTCACTTTTACAATAAAGAGTGGATCCTATGCGGCCTTCTTCATCTAAGGGCAGGGTCATACCTAAGTAGTCAACGGAAGTACCAGAACCAATGACTTCAGTGTCCAGATGCCGACCATATGTGTGCAGCAGGAGAGGACGGGAATCTGAACAGTCAAGCATAAGCAGATCGTCGACGTATCGACAAAGATGGACTGGAGGATTGCTGGGGACCCTGCTGAACTTAAATTCGAGTACCGAAAGGGTGAGGTCGGCAGTATCGGAGCTTGCGTTACCTCCGATAGGGATGCCCTTAATCTGTCGGAAGAAGTAACCGCTAAAACGCACATAGGCTTCACCAACTACCGTGCGCAGGATACTGCCGATTTCCGTAGAAGAATAGACTGTACCATAACAAATGATCGTTCGTGGCTAACATAACGAATAGTTTTGGTGGTGATATGTAGAGCGTCGCATAAGCGTTGTGAAAGCACAAGGAGAAGAGATAATCGAGCGTGTCATAAATAACGTGATGAGGCAGTTTCGTATACAAGGTTCAGAAATCTGCAGTATGCAAATGCTGGACGGGGCCGCAACTGTTAACGAATGCGATGACCTCGCTGGAGTTTCGGACGCTGTAATAGTGGCGTTTACGTAACCTACGCTGTAGCACCGAAGCATAGTTACGTAGATGTCGACGGAAAAACTGGAGTACGCGATGAAGAAGAACACTTAAAGGCTTAACACTGGAACGTACGGCAGAAGCTATAAATCGGAAGGTATAGGGGGTTTTTTGGAACTTGAGCACAACATAGATTATGGGCAAGGCTTTATTTTCATCATCCAGTTCAAGCTGGAACCTCTGGAGGAGAAGACCGTGACGAGCTAGAATAAGAGAAGCATTGTCGTTAACAGAGTTGTAAGTATCATTACAAGTAAGGTCACCATTGTCCAATACTCCTAGCTCCTGTCTGAGCACACTTTTGTAAAGTGACTTGCAAATGAAAGCGAAAAGCGAAATTGACAGGCTTAATCACTAGTGAACGTCGTGATTGTTAAGATCGAGCCAAGAGGGTGGAAAAGATGACGTTGTGAAAAGGACGACCATCAATATAAAAACTATCTAGGAGGCGGCGAGCGTAAAACAGTACATCGTCACGGTAAGACATAAAACTAGAAGGTTCTGTGCTACATTTGCGGACAAACAACCGAATATATGCTGAGACTGTGGGGAAAACGATTGAAGAAGTCAGTAGGGTGTAGATTTCGAGGCAACCGGAGGCTGCATCCTAAACTGAAATAGTTTTCTGAGAAGGCATCGCCTAGCACGTGTATATCGCCGGTAATTATGTGGTCGGGAGGAGGATATACAAATAAGTTGGGACAGGCGCATGGAGTGAGAGCAGGTGGTTGCATTATGGCTGGGGTTCTGTCAGTTGTATTTAGCTAGGCAATGTGATCGCAAAGAACGCGTCCTAGGGGGTCATATTTAAAGGCTAAGGTAAAACAGGGTACTGATATGCCGTCACGCAAGCGCCGAAATGTGCAGTTATGATCCAGTCTACTATAACTGAGACGGTCGTAAGCGTGTCCTGGGTAGGGCATAGCCCCACGAAACGCCTTGTCGTGGACCACGTTTTGCTATGAGGCCGGATGTTTAGAAGAGAGGAGGGAGCTAATAACGTGCCGAAGGAGAGCGCATGGCAGATTAGATTTGTTTAAACAATGGAGTGTGAGAGTGAGAGTTCGGCTGCCTTGACTGTGTAGGCCCGTACGAAGGTTTGTTGTTCA